TTTTTTTGGCCAAAACCAATAATAGAAAGACAAGGAGCGCAAAAAATTTGGTTTGGCCAGAACCAATAAAAGGAAGAAGATAAGAAGAATAAAAAAAGGACTTTTTTTTTTGGCCAGAACCAATAATAGAAAGAAGAAGAAAAGGCGCAAAAAAAAAAATGCATGGCTGATGAAAAGAGATTTTGATCGAAAAAAAAAAAATTAACTAACAGTTTGTAATATTGAAAAGTTGACAGCAACAGAAGCCAAGAATGACCGTTTGTGCTTATATATGATATTTCATTGATTTCATTTATAGTTTTTTTTTTTTTCTTTTTTTGTTTTTGTTATTAATTACAACAATAATTTAGCAATAAGATGGTTATTGATTATTTAAAGTATTTCCATATCTATCGAATTTTACGTTTTCCATGGAAAAACATACTTCCATGATGTGCAAATTTCTCATTATCACAGCTGCTAAATTGAATTTTAGTTCAAAAAAAAAAAAAAAAAAAAAGAGAGAGAAAACATTCGTAACAAACCATTTTATTAACATAAAAGAAAAGAAAATTAAATTTAGACGAATTAATTTCAAAATGAGGACATTATGCTTGAAATCCAACGAATTCAATAATGATTGATGTACTAATAGAAATGGTCATATGTCGATAAGCTGAATAGAAACAAACAAATAAGCAAAAAATGAACAAATAAACAAACGAATAAGTAAACAAACAAGCAAAAAAACACACACACATACACATACACATACACAAACATATACATATATGCATAGATAGACGCACACAAACAAAACGATCAGGGAAAAAAGAAACGATTGAGGAGAAAAAGGACAAATGATTTGAACTGATTATGATTTAAATCTTAGCCAAATCAAGCTTTATGCTATCAATTATATAAAGCTAACTGAAGCAAAAGATTAATAGATCATATCAGTAAGGCTATCAGTGAGATTAGCAATTAGCTTTCAGTAAGTTCAATATGTCATATCAATAAAGCTATCAGTATGTTTAATATACTATATAAGACTATGAGCAAGATTAAATGTATCATATCGATAAGGCTATCATTATGATCAATCAATTTTTAGTGATGTTTTATCCATTTGAATATTAGTGAAATGTTATGTCCACTGAAATTTCAGACTTATTTTCTAATTTTTCGATATGGAAAAAAAAAACCAAAAAATCAGTGTATTAAAATGGATAGCAAAATATAAAATTTCTCGGTGCTTTCTATGTATCCGAATGTGGGGCTGCATTTCACTCCAACAGACAAAAATAACCACATCAATTTCCAAATATTTCTTTCTTCCACCAACAATCGTCGATGTATGAAATACATATCAAATGAAGGATTGGATTGTTTCAATCAAAAATAAAATGATAAGAAAAAAATTTAAGTTAATTATATGAAACCCATGTAAAAATGATTAGGAAAATGATGCATGAAAAGATTCGGATGAAGATTTGGCAATTACTAAAGATTAAAATAATAATAATAATAATAGATATATAAATAAACAAATTAATTAACCAAATTAAACAAATAAATAAAATAAAATAAATAGACAAATAATGATAATCACTGTTATTTAATTAATGACTGAATAAATGGAAAAGGATAAAATTTTCAATGCCCTAGTATTTAGTATATTTAGTGTTGCAACCAGAATGTGTAATATTAGATTGAAATTTTTTTTAAATTAAGATGACAACCGCACTTTTGCACCAAGGACTATCAAAATTTGCAAAACTAGTTCTTGAAACTCTCCTTCCCTTTCTCTCTCTCTCTTTCTCTCTTTCGGTCTCGGCAATAAATTAATAAGCTTTTCCCAATTCAATCAAAAATAAGTCATTTTTGGTACAGTATAGCATCTGCAGAAGTGAGCAAATATGAATAAGTAAAAAAAAAGAAAAAAAACGCAAGTATATTTTTTACATTTGATGAAAATCAATAAATTATAAAAATAGGAAAGCTGATAAATATTAATGATTAAATGAACTGAATAAAAAAAATTATTAGTGAATAAATAAATTAAATAAATAATAAATGATTAATTAATTAATAAAAAAATTGATTAAGTTAATTATAAAATAAAATTAAAAGTAAATAAATATACATATAAGGCTAAAATCACTTCTCTGTCCCAAACAATCATTGTCTCCTTTTTAGCTCTTCAAGAATTTATGCTTTTTCTACGCAAAATTTTGATACACACAACATCCGTAAATTTGAGCGCTGCTAAAAATCAATGCGAGTTTATTACATCATTCACGTAAATTGAAAAGGAAATTTTATTTCTTCTTCTGCTTGCTTTTCCTTACTTTCAACTTAAAATTCCATTAAATTAATTGGGAAAATAATAAAATTAGAAATAAATTAAGAATATTTATTATACAAGATCATATGATTTGGATAATGATTTTATACTAATATAAGTGTAATTGATAATAATAACAATTTTAATTGCAACCAAAATAAAAATTTAGCAAGATTAATAATACTAGATGTTAATGTTCAATCTGTTAACAATAATGATAATGATTCGATAATGATTATTCACAGTGATGTTAATGATCGCTATTTTTATGAGACATCTGATCGTGATAAAGGTGACAATGACTGATAATGTGATGATAGAGATTTTCGTAAGGTTAAAATGCAACTTAATTATTGGAATATCAATCATAATATACATTTAAGTTAAATGAATAGCAAATTGTTGCAAATCGATTGAAGATAACAATTGTAATAATCTCACCGAAAATTTCAATAAACTATATTAGTGGCATTTAGATTAATTAAAAAAGAGAGTTAATGGAGGAGAATTGAAATGAAAGTTGTAAAAAGGCAAAGACATGAAAGGCTAACTAATAAGGGCGCTAAAGTGTGATAATAGCTAGGGGGAAAGGACAGATGTTTAGTGCTAGCTAATCGACTAAATGACTTAGAATCCCTGTGGTGCTACTACTATCATTACTATTACATTTTCCCATTAAAAAATCATTCTTCCTCATTTTTCTTCTCTCCCTTTCTTTTTCTTTTTCTTTTTTTTTTTTTTTTTCATTAAAAATGAAAAAAAAGAAGAAACAAATTACAAGACGGATAATTTTCTATTTAAATATGATATCACATGTGATTTCATTTAATGCCCAAAATAATTTAATTTGTAATAAAAATAAAATTTCAAAATTTAATTTTAAAATTATTTGAAAAATTTTAAATCATAATATGGTCGTATTATAGTGATAAATAACAATAATAGCAATGATAACAGATTTCTAAAAAATTTTCGTTGTTATTAATGTACGAAGATGTGAATGTAAAATATTGTTCTAACTGGTAATGAGCATTGTAATAGAGATAAAATATATGAAGAAAATTTAGATGAATTACTGTATTTATCAAATTTAAAAAATATAAAGAAAATGAGAGAAAGAAATGTTTAGGAAATAAAACTTTTATTATCTTTAACAAATTTTTAGTATGAAGCAAAAGTGAAATTGCATTGTAAAATCAAAAAGAATTAAGAATTAGTAATCAAAAACTCAAGAATTTATCAATTTTTGAACCTTGTGAAAGAAAAAAAAAGCTAGAAAACGAGTTTATAAAATGATGACACAAAATTAGTATTCAAAAAAAAAAATATGGGCGCAAATGGTATTTCATGAGGAAGAGATGGACAAGGACGACTATCTGAAATTCTTTCAGCTAAGACTGTTGGTGGTTGTTTGGATTGATGGATGATAGCAGGGTGACAATTGGATAGGGAAATAATATTGAAAGTAGGTAGATAGTATCTGCATCGATGCAGTTGACGTTTTTTTTTTTGGCTGCATCTAAATAACATCTGGAAGTTTGGATGGTTTTTTAATTTAAAAATAAAATCAATAGGAAACAATTCATGAACGTTACTCAAACAGGATAGGATAGGTACTTATTTTTATAGGCCTCAACATTTGTTGAAGGGTATATAAGTTATTTATAGCTTATGCTAGTTTTATAATTTCAGCTAATATTATTGAATCCAATCTGTGAGGAAATCTGCATAAGTTATGGAATTCAAATATTATTTCATATTTGGACTACTTTTTATTGTTTTTATAATATATGCTCGTTTGTATTTTTAAATCCCAAATTTTATGTATTATTATTCATTATGGAAAAAAACGATAAAACGGATTGCCTTGAAAATTATCGTAGTTTAATTTAGAACTTAAATTTAGAAAGATTTGAACCCATCTATTTATGCCATCATCGTTAATATTTTTCTCGTATCCGAAGCAAATTATGACCTTGAAAATCTCTAAAATATTAAAAGGTTTTTTTTTTTTTTTTTTTAAAAAAAAAAAGAGATTTTTTTCCCTACCAAATTTAAACTCAAATTTTCATAGAGCTTCATACTTGCTTGAAAAACATATTTTTCTTTGTTTTTTTTTTTCTATTTCGCGAAATTCTTTGTTAAATTTGTAGCAAATCGAAATTCAACATCTGTGATAATTCGAGTTTATCAAAATAACATGAAGAATGTGAATGAAACGGGAAAATACAATTGAAGAATATGGAACCTATTCATGTGGCACAGACGATAAATGCATTCATATTGTGAATAAATATGATAAATTTTAAAAAGTTATTAATGAAAATATGATTTTTTTCAGAATTGAAATGATCAATAAAAAAAAAAAATGGCTATTAGATGAGAAAAGTGACATTCGTTGATTCATTTAATTTGTCAAAGATTAAAAAATAAAGTATTCAATGATGACAAATAATAGCATTGCAATGTAATAACTGCTGCAATCTACTGTTCGTTATATGGAAAAAATTTCAATTACAAAAATAAATCGTTTAATTAAAAGAGCTATTAATGACAAAGATATAAATGAAAATCAAATTACTTTAAATAGTGTCTAGTAATTTTACCCATATGATTTTTGAATTAAATTTTTTTATTTCATTTTTTTTTCCGAAATTCAAGAGATAAGCGATAATTAGTTGATCAAAGATTGCCTAAAATAACTATGCATAGAGTTAGGATTGCAATTTACTGGACTAGGACTAGGAGCAGAAACTACTGAATCACGAATGCGAGCCTGAAGGCTTCCCACTCCACTATCATTTTCCAGGTTATCAGTGGATGGTGTGAATATTGTCGGATCCAATAAATCACCATCTAGTATAATCCGTGGGCGTAAGATAACCTTCCGATTTTGACTGTTACTGTTGCTATCATTATTGTTCTTGTTGGAATTGTTATCCATTCCTGATAACGCTTCACTTGATAATGATAAGCATAACGCCTGAAATATTTGTATTTTATTTAATATATATGAATCAGCATATACATATATCATTATAAATAATATATTTATAAATAAAAAATAGGTAAAAAGTATTTTATACTAATAATTTCTTTTCAAAACCTTTTTTTTCAATACATATATTTAAAAAAACAACAACAAAACAAAACAAAACAGAAAATATCCTACACGCTTAGCAATGGTTCGCTCGAGATCACGCTGAAATGCATGCGCATTAGGCACATTTGGAATCCTCATATAACTTCTTTCTGGTAGTTTTGTCTGATAGAAATCATTGTTGTACATATCAGATAGATTTTCCTTGCTGTATCTGTAATTATAAAAGATTTTGTTTTAATCTGAATTTTTCTAAATTCAATATTTTTTTTTTTTTAATTTGACTAACTATTCTTGTTAATTTAGTTAAAATAAATAAATGTTTCTTTAAAATGTGTAAAAAAACAATCAAACAGATTTACTTCAATTTATTTCTTATCAATTGATTTACTTAAAAAAATTTTTCAACTAAATTTTTAAATTGTACTTATATAAAGTATGAAAAGAAGACAATACCTGATCCATTCATCTTTTGCATCCAGTTCAAATTTTTCCCTTTCTTTCCATTCTTTCTTTAGACGGAAAAATGGAAAACGTGAACGTGAATCACTTGAAGCTAAATTTAATGTGCCACGTTCATTTCGAAATGATAACGTCGAGCGCAATGGTGGTTTTTGCATCTGACGCTCTGATGAACTTCTAAACATCTCCGTCAAATTAATATATCAATCATAAAATTTATCAATTTTCAAAGAATTTTATGCATTTTTGATGAACACAATAGCAGTAACCTTACTCATTAATTGATTGCCATTTGTTCATTTTTTCACAAATCTAATTCATTTAAATTAAGTTTTTAATTTCATTAAAATTTGCTCTTGTCAAATTAATTTTGTCAATAATTTCCATTTCACTATTTCATGTACGATAAACAAACAAATGATAAAAGTGAACCGATCAAGTTTCTGCTCAGCCGGAACATATTGTTTCGTATACACATTGCAAGTATTTGTAGGAAGTGCTGTATCAGGTTTTAGTTTTATATGCTGTTGCAACGCTTCCAAAACACTTTCCGGTCGTCCACATTTGAATTCGTATGGTTGATCGTAATCAACTTCAAATGCAAAGCAATTTTCACCGGTACCAAACCTAAATTTATTTTTTTATCCCAAGTTACCGATTAAATTTTCAATCCGATTAATATTATTATTTTTTGCTATTTAATCAATATTAATTTTAGAATTGAAATATAACAGATTAAATAATTTACAGTTGTTATTGCTCTTATTGTTTTCGCATAATTTCTGCTATTTAATCAATATTAATTTTAGAATTGAAATATAAACAGATGAATATTTTTTTTTTTAATTTGAGTGATGTTAATTTATGCAGTGTAAAGTATTATCAAATATATTTAGCATGGTTGAAGCTCAAGATGTTTTAGATATTATGACCAAAATTTTAAAAATGCAATAGCATGTTACGAAATCTAAAATATGTACACTTTTTAATGCATATAATTCATTAACATTATTCATCCTTTAAAAAAATATATATTATGATCAAATTTTATAGAATGAAAAAAAAAAAAATGTCATTGCGCAATTTTTCGATTGTAACAAATAATAATAATAATAATATGCTAAAAAAAAAAAAAGAAAATATTTTTGCAAAATGTATTACAATAAACTAACCAAGTAATTTGTGGATAAGACCAAGCTTCAATGCAACTAAATCCATTTTTTAGAAAAACAGAATCACCAAAACTAATCTCATAATTTCCTTCCGGAATTTTCATACGATGTATATTTTTATTACTTTCCAATAGTACCGGAATACGACTTACTGTAAACAAAATTTGTACCATTCATATTAAAAATAAAATAATTATCGCGAAAAAAAAGAAAATAATTTTCAAAAAGAAAAAAAGAATTATGAAAAATTATAAAATAAAAAGGCAAAAAAAATAAAAGAAAACATACAATCCCATGGAACATCATATTCGTCATTATCATTGGAATTTGTAGATAGTGAAGAGGAAGGATGTGTACCAATTGAAGCAAACTAAAATTTATTTCTATTTATCACAAATAATGGAAAATTTTTCCATCACAATATTTAATCAGTTATTATTTTTCGCTTATCTTATCACAATTAATTATCATAACACAGTTTCACTTATATATTACAAAAATATCACAAAACATTTTATGATAGCAATATACCAAGATTTAATATTATAATAGTTGAAGGATAATTTTCCAGATATTATATTTTCTTTTTTAAATTACAAAAAACTACTGTTATGTCTTTTTTCTTTTTTTTTTTTTTTTTTTTTTAGACGAATTTTTAAAATTTTTTTAAAACGAAGTTACGGAAAAAAAAACCTGATCCGGAAATGCAACTTTGCATAAAACATAATGCCATTCATCTACATTCTCCACAGCAATTAACAGTACCGGAGCATTCCTTGGTTGAATTTGAATGATTCGATTATCATCTAGAGAACGAAAATAAATATATATATATATATAACAACAAATAAAAATATATCTCGAAATCAAATCGAAATAATTAATACAGAAAATTTCAAAAAATAAAAAAGATAGAAGTCACAAAATTGCACTAATAATACTTATTGATAATAGCTGTAATTAAGTTTATAATAGTAATCAAAATTATTATCATTATTAGGACTATAATTAAAATTATAAATTTCAATTATAATAATATGGCTATTTATTGCTGTTCCAAAATAACGCTAAACAATTTCTCATCTAATAAATAAAATTAAAAAAAAAAAGTAGTAATTTTCCAATTTTTTTCAAATTTATTTTTCGAACTTAAATTTATTTATGAACAATAATTTTAAAAAAATGGGCGTATTAACTTATACTTCAATTCAATTCAAAAAAAAAAAAAAAAATGGAAATTTCCAAATGACTAAATGTTTATGATTTATAAACGCTCTGTAAAACACTACTCTATTACCAAGTATAACAAATATATCTAAAAATTTCAGATGAAAAGTAATCTTTTGATAATTGATATCATTGCTATTGAAAATATAATTGCTGGATAGAAATATGTGTAATCACTCAATTAATAAATTCATTCAACTAATAATAAAATTAAAATTAGAAATACCAAAATCTTTATAAATATTAAAATATGCAAAATTAAAGGAGAAATAAAACAAAACAAAAACATACTACTAACAGTATTCCGAAAATGAACAATTCGAATTGCAACGCATTCGCCTAGAAGAATACTTTTTGAAGGTGTTAGAGCGGCAAGTTGTGACCCTGAAGTGTAAATCTCAAGACGTGCTCGACCTGTCACATTTTCTTCAAATATAGCACCTTTGAATCGTTTCCATTTCTATAAAACTTCCAATAAAATGTTAGAAAAAAACTGCAAAAAGAATTTAATTTAGTTGTAAATAAAATAATACAATTATACAAAAATAAAGAAAAAAATTTTTGAAATTATTTTGAAAATTAATTTTTATTACAATTATACGATAGCATAGTTTGCATACCAGTTGCATGTAAAATCATTAACATGCATATGAAGTGCTGAATAAATAATCAAAGCAGAAATTATTCAAAAAAAAATGAAAGATAAAAAAAAAAAAAGGTATGAGATGGAATGAATGAATAATAATATCATTGAGTTATATAAATAAGTTTCAAAATGAAAAAATTTTTTTCTTTGTCATTTTTCCATATGCCTAGATGAATTCTTACATTTTTTTTTTTTTTGTAATATATGATAAGTTTGCTTCATTTGAATGAATTTGATTAAATTCAAATTCCATTCCTTTCGTTTTATCATTCCATCACCAATTTTTGCATGTTGCCTTTTCTATATTTAACTAATAAAGAAAAAAGTAAATTTTAACACAAAATAAAATAAAATCATAGCTTTGTGTTAGTATTTTAAGATTTATGTTAGTATTTTAGTTCGTTGTTAAAAAAAAAAAAAAAAAAAAAAAAAAAAAACGAAAAAAAGCAAGTTGAAGAGAAAGAAAAAAGAGAGAAATTCTTTCTATTTTTTCCTTTTTTTTTTTTTTTTTTTTGCTGAAGATAAATTCCAATCCATTGCAATGATAAAGCTATCAAGATGATAAAAAAAAAGAAAGAAAAAAGGAATAGTTATAGTGGCAAACAATCATAAAATTCATACAAATGAACTGATTTTACGGCATGATAAATCTTTTGATATGAATATCTTGATATGATATAAACTGATTAAAAAAAAGAGCGAAAGGATTGTTTACAGTGAAAAAATGCGATTAGTTATGAAATGAATGAACTGTATTAACAAATAATTATTTCTTTGATTGCAATTAATATTAATTTTCATTCTTTCCTATTAATAATATTAGCCTATCTTAAGATATGATAGTGTTGGATTTTATCAAATGTAGAAATATGCAAATTTCAAAAATTTTTCAACTTACTGAAAAAAATCGACCTTGAAAAACATGTACTGTGCCATCATACACCGGTTCCATTGTTCCTAAAATTTCATAAATGAATATAACATTTAAAAACAGACACACATACACAAAACGAGTCTTATTTTTATTTAATTAAAGTCAAATACAAGCATTTTAAAAATTACTTCAATATATCTAAATCAAATATCCATCATAGCTAAAAATTCAAAATGGTTAAATATTTTTGATGCTTAATGATGATGAAGAAACTGAAACAATTCAAATATAGTCCAGTATTTGTCCAAAAAAAACGAAAAAAAAAAAATTTGAAAAATTTTGACAATTTATAATAAATTTTTCAAATACACTTTTTTTTCCCCGAACTGACCTTATCCTCATCATATTACATATTATAAATAAAAGCAATAACATAATTATTTTTATCGTATGATTTCAAATAATCAAACAATCTTTTTTTAAAATATTTTGTTTACGAAAAAAAAAAAAAAAAGAGAGAGAAAAATATTTGAAATATTTTAGGATAAAATGAGAAAAAAATGGTAGAAGTGCAAAAAAATGTATTTATCAAAAGATATAATAATCGTTTATCTCATATAACCATATGGTAAAATTTTCGCAGTAAAAATTATTGTCGTAAACAGAATGAATGGAAAATGTTGGAACAGCTAAAACTGTCAACAATAATAACTAATAGATAAAATGATTTGGATATGAATTGACTAATGAACTAACTAACTGACTGACTGCTAAGCAATTTTGATGATGCTTAGAAGATGTTAGCTGATGAATCATAAATGCAAAAAAAAAAAAAAAATGAAATTTAGCAATTTTCCGAAAGCTTTCCCAATTTTTCAATTTATCCAATTTTTTTTCTTTCATTTTCTCTCTTTTTCTCTCTTTTTTTCCTTCTTCTTCTTTTTTTTTTTTTTTTTATTTTAGATATATTATTTTCATTAAGTTTCAGTAATGTTTTTTTTTTTTTTGAAAATAATTTATGATAATTTATCATAGTGTAAAACAAATTTTAATTCTTTTAAATTTGTCCAATTAAAAAAAAAAAAATTTGTTTAGCAATGGATATTTATATTTTTTATTATCATAATTATTATTGTTAAAAATAACTGAAAATGAGAAATTCAAAGCAATGAAAAACTGATGATGCATATTTGCCAGAGGAATTAGGAAATATAAATAAATATGTGTACATCTAATTAATTCAGGTTGATATTCAAAAAATTTCGGAATTAATGAAAAAAAAAAAAAAAAACCACCCGTTTTTTACTATAAAATAATGGAAACCACAAAAGCTAAATAAATATGTATTTAACATTTTGCACGATTTAAACTTTCTCAATTTTTAAAATAAGCAAAGATGAAGTCATTTTTAAGCGTATGTATGCTTATATGTTTAAAACATTAAAATTAAATAAAAACTACTGTGAAAAGAAAGTGATTTTAGAAAATTATGGGATGTAATAAGCATTTATGATGGAATAATTATTTTAAGGATACATTTTTTGAAGTTATACAATGAGAAAAATATGATTTGAATAAAAAGAACAAATAAATAATATGAGGAATAAAAAGAAATTAAGCAATGATAAAATTTAAATGGAAATGAGAAAGATAAATTTGATCAGAATTAGTGATTTGATTTAATATAATTTGAACAGATCAAATAAATAATGTACAAATGTACGATATCATTCAATAATTATTATTAACATAAATAAATGCAAATGATTGAAAGATTGAAAAAGTAGCACTGATAGGCAGCTATATAAAGCTAGAAATAAGTAAATATTCAAGCAGATATTATTCATTCATTCTGTACCAATCATTATTATAGTTATTTGATTTCGTCTACTCTTCCTTTGTGCCAACAATTTCGCTAAATAAATATACATTACGAAGGCGCAAATGATATGATTTGTACAGCTTTTCATCTTACACAATTGCAAATTTCATTTCGTCTTTGCTTCAAGTATCCAATCGTTAATATTGCCACTATTATTATTATTATTAATATTATTATTTGTCACTCACTATTATTATTTTTTTATTATTAATCACGACTATCGATTATCATTTCTAGTAATCATTTTGATATATGGAATGCTTTGACTAATTAATATTTAGATAAAACAAAAAAATGGGATTTCCGTCCTATCCAACTATTACTATCCTTATGAAGTCGGAAAAAAAAAATTTCTTAAAATAAATTCTAAAATTTAATTTTTTTCATAGCTTCATTGAATTGTAATTAGAATTGACGCTGTAGCAGTTTTAATTTAAATCTTCTAAAATTTCTCAGCTTTATCGGAAGCAAAAAGACATTTGTCACAACGAAACGGCATACTACATACTTTGCAATTTCACTCATCATTTTTCAATTTCCGTTTGCTTCAACTGAAGAAAAAAGCTTCAATATATTTATCTTTACAAAATTTAATTTTCGCATAAACATACTTTTAATAAATTCCATTTTTCCACTTTTTTTTTTGTTTTTAAAGAATCGTGCAAACTTGTGATAAAAATTGCATAAAAGTTTTGACAGAAGTTAAGAAGGAAAGGAAAAAAAAAGAAGGAAGAAGATTTTAAAATTGAATGAAAAATGACTCTTTACGATGAAATAATTGAATGGGACCATCAAGGTGATAGGTAGACAATAAAAATGAATTACAGCAAGCAATTCTTGTCGAAAATTCATCCAGAGAAAAAAAAAAAAAAAAAAAAACGAGAAAGAAAGAAAAAAAATGATAAAAATTGTTAAACATCTACAATTTGAAATTTCATGAAAATGTGAATTTATATTAAAACCACCTGTACCACAAATAATATAATAAACCGCCCATTTCTCACAGAAAAAAATAAAATAAAATAAAATCATTATTCGGAATGGGATAGTGGGAAGGAGGAGGAGGATAAGTAACATTTTTGGATGGGATTGAAACGAAAACGTTTCTTTCAGCAGGTGAGCATACCGGAAAGAATAGATTTGAAAACCGACAAAGGTGTGCAACTTACGGAATAAAAACGAAAAGAACTGTGCTTTCGAGAGAAATCAATCAAAATAAGCAAAATACGATATCTCATTATCATTATTACTATCAATATTATTGTTATCAACGTAATCACAGTAAGATAGATGTATGCGATGAATTTCTTGAGAAAAAAAGAAGAAAATAAATTATTTTGAAACTAATTATCATCCATTTCATCGTGTATTTTAGTTAAATAAGTGATCACTAGAAAAAATATTTTTCAATAAAGTTAAAAAAAAATGTTTGAAATTTTGTTCTAATTAAAAAAATTGGTAACTATGTCAACGAGAGAAAAAAAAAAAAAATTAATTCAACAAATTAATTCATTCTATGATTCCTTCATAGTTAATTTTGTAGACATTTAATTGTTATGTTCAACAAAACGAAATCATTTTCTTCTCACTTAACAACTATGAATGAATGTTGCGGTTCATTTAATATGACCAATTTCACTAAGGAAAATAATTCATCCATGAAAGAAAAACAAACAAACAAACAAACAAATAATTGTATTTGTGCCTTAACTTATCATTACGAGACTTACCTAATCTAATCCATATAACTAATTATCGTTATCTTTACCTAATAAAATTTACCATATTTTACTAGGTTATTTACTTCTAATCATCCGAATCTTAATCTAGTAAGTTAGAAAATTTCAAAATTTTGCGTATAAATTGCATAAAAAGCAATAAAACATGTAACAAAATTTCAAATGTTTAGATGATACGAATGATTGAACCTCAACAATAAAATCATCAGTGAAACAATTTGATAACTTTAAACAACAAAAAAAAAACGAAAAATACATCCTCCTATTATAAATAAATGAATTTGATTGATGAAAGTGCGCAAATAGTTTGTCAAATGATCTTTTTTTTAGAAAAAAAGGAAGAAGAGAAGAAAAGAAAGAAAGTTAAAAAAAAAAGCGCAAATAATTTCTGAAATTTATTGCGCGCTATTATTCTTTTATTTTTTTTTTTCCTGATTTTTACATTATAAACTGTTGGTTGGATTTGAAAAATGTATGTTCATATATTAAAAATAAAAAACAAGAAAGATAAAAATGTAAATTTTCTTTTTTCTTTTATTTTTTGATAAAGTGGTAGCGAAAAAAGTAGAGTTGCGAAGTGTGACACATCTTGATAATTGGTGGAACAGGTAAAAGGCAAATATGGGGGACAGTATAAATGAAGTTTGAGAGTATGTCATCTTCTTGCCACGTTTTTTTCCCGGCATACACTTTTCAAAATCATGATGTCTCGATTATGTTAAGTACTTTTTTCATTTTTCAACTCTCATCTGTTGTTCGTCGTCTTCAAGGCTATTGAAAATTAATTCAATTAATGTAAACTGCTTAACAATTGATCTTTATTCTATCTATCTATCTATCTATCTATCTATCTATCTATATATATATATATATATATATATATATAGAATAGAATAAAATCATTTTATAAAATGAAAAGTAATTATGAAGTTACTTATCCATAAAATTAGTCTCACATATATATATAAGTTTGTATTAAATATTTGTATAAAAACAAACAAACAAACAATCTACAGTTCATTTTAAATGCTTTATTACTACCTTTTAATTAATTTATTACCTTTAAAATGAAAAGGCATAAAAGAAAAGAGTAACAGAAAAAAAAAAAGAAAAAGAAAATGAAAGCTAATTTTTATAAAAGGAAGCAATTGCTACTGACGTTTGTTCTAAAAGTTCCATCGTAATATTTCCCTTTCTATCACATTTTCATCCCACCTATTCTAGCTATAGCCTTCGTCCTTCTAAAAATATCTTTCATCATTAATCACAGCTTTTTTTTTTTTTTTTTTTTGTTCTTTTACTTCTTTAATTAATTAAATTAGTTTATTTGACGTATGATGCTACATATCATTATGTCGGAAGTAAGTCTAAGTTGCGCTATAATTCCTTTGGCGCCATTACGGTCAGCAAAAATTATCGGAAGCTGAAAAGATTACACAAAAAAAAAAAAAAAAAAA